TTTTTTTTTTAATTAAAACTAACCAGCTGGTTTTGTATCAGTTGGATCATCGATTTTTTCTTCATCTACCCAATCGGATGGTTTTTTAGCATTTGGATCTGGAATTCGTTTTGGTACAGTAAAATCCCAATCTTCTTCAAGTTTACCACTTTCAACTTTTTCATTATCAATACGAACTTCATAAGTATTATCCGAATTAAGAATTAATGTATAAAGATGTGTAAATTCATCATCTTTACATTTAATATCTTTTTTAATTAATAAATTTTTTCCTTTGTATGTAAAAATGACATGAACTTTTTTCGTACTATAACCACAAATATCAGGTCCTAAATGACAAAAAAATAGAATAAAATATAAGAATAAATTTATTTACCAAACATAATATGATAAGGTGAATCGCCGGTAAGACCTTTTTGATCAGTATCGGATGGATAAACTTTAACATAACCACCACCACAATCAATTTTTTGTTCATGTTTAACAGTAAATTGAATAACAAGTGTTTTGCCTTCATTTGAAAATTTATCAAATTTAGCTGAGATAGCATAAAAACGAGCATCTTCAGATGTTTGAAGACCTAGATAAAGAAGTTTTTTTTTATTAATAAGAATCTTTTTATTTTTATATTGACTTACCAAGATCTTTTTTTGCATCACCATAAAATTTACCATGTGATAATTTAAATTCACCTATATCCGATTTAGCTGTTGACTGAACCCATCGTTTTTTATAGGATTCATCTTAAAGAAGACAATAATGAAAAAATTATCAGTAAAAAATAATTTAAAGATTAATTTTACCTTCAAATTTTTCAACAAAATAATCTGCCGAATAGACAGCTGCAATCAGAACAAGTAATAATAATGAATAGCTTGATCGAAACATGATAAAGATGATGCTAAAATAGAATGTATAGGTCAACGGTCAGTTAAAAGAATAAGAAATGTTCTCTTTCTCTCTTCTGAATATATATATATATATATACAAGTATCAACTCATACGAAAATGATTAAGTAAAGAATATAGTTTAGACGGCTTTCTTCATTCTCTTCCTTTCTTAGTATTATATTTAATGGAAGAACGACGAAAAGACGAATCAATGAGCAAACAATGGAATATGGGTTGTGTTTATCTGATTGGATGAATTGAAGTTTTATTAACCTATCATATATCAACGTGTGGAGATAGAAATTAACTAAATATTGATGAGATTCAAGTTATTATATAGAGTGAAAGATATTAATTTAATTGTAATTCAATGATAAACTTAAAATAAATTGAAAATCTTTCATGTTTTTTTTTACTGGAAAACGCCATCTATACTAGATGGTGTTTTCCATTTTATTTTGATAAGAACTCTGGCAAAAAAGTTTTTATATCGTTATTCTTTTAGTTAATTAATTTTGCAAATAACATAGTATCGATCATGTTTAATTAAAAACAAAATTTTATTATTTCAAATAAATAAGATATTGCACGGTATATATTTAATAAAATATTCTTTGAATCATATAGAATTTCAATCACAAAAAACTCATCCATGAAACAGTTGTTACTAATGGTTTTGTATATTTCACTAGATCAGTCATATTTCTTTATACATGTTTAATGTTAAATTAACTGTGTAGTTTTAGAATGTCTGTCTAGTCTAAAAGAGAAGCAACTGTTGTGAATTATAATAATCATAACAGAAGAGTTTTTTCAAGGATGACATATATTGTAATTTCTAAATAACGTAATTAATTTGTCTTTGTATAGATACTAGTATTGAATTCTAATACTTTATAAAAAAGATAGAACTTACAAAAAAGTTATTGTCAAGACTATTATACCCTAGTGATATGATTTTAGCTCAAACAATAATGGAAATTAACGTTGAAATAAAAGTATTATGACTTCATTGTATTAATAAGCGTCAAGAAGAATTGTCATTACCGATTGAGATAAATATTTTCATATAATAAATGGTGTTGTAGCACTTTAACAAAATCTATTAACTAAATGAATATATCAGTCATAAATTGATTTGTACTATGTGTTAAAGATCAATCGAATTCAAATAATTGATATACTCATACTAAACCAAAGCTTTTGTTAGTATATGTTAATTGGGTATTTGTGTAGAAGATATGGATCAAGACTGAATCAAAACAAATAAAATATCAAATTAACGAAACGAACATAAACATGTGATTATATAGGAAGATTGTTTTTTTTTAATGCAGAACAATTATTTCTATTTGATGTATTATACAAACAGATTTGAAGATTTTTTTTTTCAAGATTTCTGGTATAGATTTAATTTTTAATAAACATTGCTCGTTAAACTTTATATTGAACAATATCAATTTGTGAAATAAAGAAAACTGATCATTTCGAATAAAATTGTGTTTTAAGCTGATTTGTTCAATAAGTTTAACGTAATATATTATTTATTTTGTTTCCTTTACATAGTGTAACAAATTTGTAAAAATAGAAATGACAAGAGATATTCATTTCATGACTACGAAATCATTTACTAGTGAGTATTATTATCAAATGAATTCGAAGATTTCATAGTAATGAGATTAATATTTTACTAACTGGTTTTTTTTTAGACTAGAATTAATTTTTTTAATTCATAAGTTCTATTCAGTACATTGAGTCCATATACAACAACAACAAAAAAAATAGAGACTGCATCTTTTATGAGAGAAAAAAAGAAGTATAGTGAGGTGAGGAACTATCACATCCTTACTTTTAGAGTGATGAATGGGATCGTCTCAATATCCAATATGTATGGGAAAGTCTTTTTTCTTTTCTGAATAAATGTTATCACGAAATTTGTTATAATATCAATTGTATCTTAAAAACATTGTTGTCATACACAATAAAAGAGGTTTTTGATTTATTCCATCTTTATCATTAAGATATGCAAGATGGTAAATAGATTTCGCATTGTAATACTATCCCTAGTGAAGGTAGTACTCATCAAGCAAATATTCACACTAGAAAAGGCTGTGAGAACCTATGAGTATTCATACTGAAATCTTAGTATTTGAATATGACAATTGAGTAAAGCCATCGACACATTAGAAGACCCGGGGTCTTCTATTCTGTCTTATCGTTCATAAGTTAAAAGGGGGGTCTTCTATTATGTCCCTTAAAAAAGTCATATTTTTTGGCAATCCCACCTACAAACCTTAGCTTCACTTATTTCACATGTGTAGAATAAGAAAGAAACAGATATCATCCTGTGAAAAAAGGGAGACTATAGTTGGTAAGAAGTGTTCTTAGAACAATACAGTCAATGTACCCTAGCATCTTGGTACGATATCCCATATCGTTCTTTTTTTCTCTAGGCTAACACCTATCACTGGCAACATTTTACCTTCTCAATAACTAAATAAATGTAAAAAAAGAAAATTAATTTTTTTTATCAAACTCATTGTATTCAGTTGCTTATGTGGAGATATGATTAGTATAGATGGAATCTATTCATAGTGAATTCTGCTACCAGCAAAGTTATTAATCTTAAGTTAACTTCAATGAATACGATTGTCTTATGAAGAAACTATCTATAGAAAATCAGCAGTTGAATACACACATCGTTTTTCTTTTGCGTCTGTTTCAAAAAATGCCGTTGTATCTTATTGAAAAAAGAAATGCATTCTGAAACTCAAAACAAGTACTCACATATCAAATCTCGACGTTTATACAGTCTACGCAAAAAATTCTGGGACATTCAAGAATGGCTCTCCGAAATTTCATCTTTCATTTGGAATAAACTTTATATATATTTTTTAAGCATAGTTACTGGTTAAACTTTCGTACTTTACTCTACAGACGCAAAACTTCTAGTTTTAATATTATATAAAACTGTAACCAGTAACTATACTTAAAATATATATAAAGTTTGTTTCAAATGAAATATAAAATTTTGCAGAACCATTCTTTAGTGTCCCAGAATTTGTTGTGTAGACTGTGCATGAAGTTATGTTTTCTTCAATTATGAAAGACTGTTTTGTGGTGAAAACGTTTCTGATTTTCTAGAAGAAAGTCAAAGATGAAAAGACCTTTTAATTAATACAAAGTGGCACTTTACCTAATCTGTTACTATTGTACAAAGATCCTTTCACATGTTACATGCACGAACGGACACTGCGTTCATTAGATCCTATGACTATGGAAGCGTGTTTTTCGTATATAGAGCCTGAATAATGCATTCAAAGTAAGCTGCAAAGGAGTACTAAAATGACTCCATGGTATATTTTTACAAAGAAACGCAATCTTTAATAGACAGTTGTTTCCTATTAGTTGCTTCTCAGGATTTTACTCATTCGAGCCTAACACTTGGTTATGGGGGAGGAAGCAAGATATTGTTCGTACTGAATTTCGATATCATTCTAGGCTTAAATACTAAACAAGTCAATAAACTCCAGAAACTGTTTCAAAATATCGATTTTTTAAGAGGGGGGGAGGGGATCTTCTAATATGTCTTTTGCGTCATTTATTCAAGGAGGGTCTTCTAATGTGTCGATGGCTTTACTTTAAAATAAATTCAATATCTTTCCATCGATTAACATGAAATGCTGATGGAAATTCTAATGGAGTTATATTTGTTAAATAAACAAATTTTGACAGATAAGTAAGATTTTCTTGTGCATTGTTATCATTAGTTGTTTGTCGAAAATTAACTAAATCAAAAAAACAAAATACATGAAATCGTATACATTTGTACATAATATAAGATGAATTATTTTAATCAAATTAAAAGATAATCTTTTATTTTTACCTATATTAAATAAATTTTTCCACCATGATGATTTTATTATTGGCATTTCTACAAGAAGATTAGTAACATTTTGAAATAAAGGAAAAGACCAAGTAACATTTGATTTTTTATTTTGTATATATAATATTAATTGTGTTATATCAGAATAAAATGAATAATGGTCATCAATTGTTTTTTCTGTTGTTCGTGTTTCAAATGTTCTGCAATGAATACAAGAAATATTTATTTTTGCAGTAAATTTGCCTTTGATATAATTCTTTGTTCGTAATATAATAAGTTCATCTAAAAGAAGAAAAATGTATTTAATAAAAATTCGATATTAATTAAAATTTAGTTTCATATTCTTAATTTAATTATTTTGAATAATTTTATTTACCTTGAAGACGAGAACCATATATCCATCTATCAATAATCATATTCCAATTAGAATATTTTTTTAACAAAATAATTAAACGAATTAATAACAAAATCTAAATCTAATTTTGGTATTCTTTTTGTAATAGTCATATGAAATTCAAATTTTGGTAAATATGAAAGATTATTTTCTAATATTTGTTGCCATACATATCCATCAAGATATTGATTAGTAAATGGCCATGATGATGTTTGTACTAAAAGATAAAAATAAAAATGTTTAATATTAGGCATACAATGTAATATAGAAGAAATCGACCAAATATCACATGATGCACCAATGAGTAAGTTGAAATTTGTTAGTTGTGATAATATAGGAAGATCATTTTCATTTATAGGTGATAGATGATTTGAACCACTGAAATAAAAGGAAATTTTTTTTCTCCGATAGAACTATTGCAGTAATAACTTACTTAATATTATTTTCAAATCGTTTTTCATGTTGTAATGCAATGCATAAATATCGTATTCTATAACAAAGATGAAAAATTTGTAAAACTGTATGAACAGATACAGTTGAAGATGAACCAGATATTCGTAAATAAAGTGAGGGGGTGTGGGTGTGGTGTCCATTAAGAAAATACTCACTTCCACACCCACACCTACATCCGACCCACACCCACACGCATACCCCACACCTCACATCCACACTCTCAGGTACATAGCTTATAATTTCTAGATTGTAGCCAATGCTGGCGATATCATTTACCACTTCTTGAAAAAAAGTCGGTCCGTAAAGGGCTAACTAGCGTAATAACAAAGGAGCTAAATTCAATGCATGTCGTTGAATATGAAAAGATATCTCAATAATAGGTTGAAAGGATGAAACTTTGTACCGAACACCATGGCAACTACATCGAAGATGTGCTGTAGAGAGATCAATGGAGTGCCTTACTTATGAATAGATTTTTGAAGTTTTCAAAACTTTTTGGATGACTTAAGTATGTAATACCATTCCAAAATTATTCAAACAATTGCTGAATCTGGCAATAAAAAACAAAGAACTTTCAAGTTATTGTTAATACTAAATAGTTGGAATGTTACTTTAAATCGGTATCTCTTTTTGTTTTCGAGAGATTACAATCAACTAGTCCTGTCTTTTGTAATGCAATAGATATTATATGAAACACACAAACAATTAGAAATATATAAATTTTATGCAGTAAAAAGAGTTAATGACCGTGGAGACTCCTTTATTCGTTATATTAAATCGCAGGAATAAAAATTACATAAAGTATCAACCTGTTCTTCTTATGCTTTATTTGTCTCATTTCATGCTTTTGTGTTTCGTGGTACCCGTTACATTTTTCAACTGTCTTGGCTTCGGCAATGCAGAGATCACTCGGTTTTTTGTGTGCGTCAATTGTTGCATTCCTTTTCTGACGTCTTCCAGTATTCGTATGTGATTGTCCGTCTCTTCGTCCTCAGATGAATCTTCGAGATCTTCTTCATCTGCCTCTTGTGCACAAGACACTAATAATTTTTTTTTAAGTGTTTTGACCCATTTCCATTTCTTAGTCAGGTCAGTTTGTTTATAGTGCCGAGGACCCAAAAAGCAACAATGACAAAAACGATTAAAATTTGAAAGCAGTTGAAGTTTAAGAATTTCAAAGTCAGCAGCAAGTTCATACAACATATCAAGACGATGATTCTTAGCTGTACTCATCAGCGGTCCAATCTCACCAACAGCCAAACCTATATTGAACCAAGAAATAGAAGAATTTGAGTAAACGAGAAATCTTTCTTACTGATAAGAAGATTGGAAACAAGAATAGTCATAGCAATAGCGAAAAGAACAAGCATGATATGACCTAACTTATAATATGCTGTAGTATTGTCGCTATACATAAAACCACTGTAGTCAATTTCACCTGTGCTCATGATTGCTAAATGAAACTCGAATGATATCAAATCGAGAGAATTATTTGTTATAAAAAGAATACCTGCTTTAACAAAACCAACAGCTACATTATTGAATGTATTAAAGTTTTGAAAAAGCATATACAAAGTCAATGTAAAGGCTGATAGTAATACCATAAGTACAGGTAAAAAGAGCAAAAATCGTATGAGAATAACTTTCATCATGATAACATAAATACCGATAATAGGTATATACTGAAAGTAGTAGAATAATGCTATGTAGCCAATAAAAAGACCAAATGCACCGATCTGCCATTGAATAGGACAGCGCATAGTCACATTCTCTTGGTAGGTATGATCGAATATAAAATAAAAGTTCAAGACAAGTGTGATTATTTCGAGAATAAATGTAAATGTTTTCGACCAAGCAATTCGTAAGTAACCAATGATGGCCCAAAGGTTTTTCGCCAGATTCAATGCTAACAGAACATACATTACTTGTTTCAATATGCTATCAGCTTTTCCTTTTAGACCAGCAGATTGAAGTGCTTGAGTAACATTTTCGCAAAGGTCAAAATCGAAATTAAAACCTGTCATCCTATAGTAATCTTGTGGGTGTCGTGTACGCATTGCAATCATCGTAAAAATACCAAGAAAGGATGCGTAGAGTACGAAGCTTAGGATGAAAAGAACAAGACTAATGCCACAAAACTTGTCATAAGCAAGTTTCTTGCTTAATGGATGTACCATCAGTTTATATCGATCATGAACAGCCATTAGAAAGAGTGGATGATTCATGACCAGTGTTTTGTAATCGACTGTATATGGTTCATCGTGTCGAACACTTTTATTATTTTTCCTGTGTCCGTCCAGCATATCAGGATGATTATTGAGATTACCTTCAAAGAACAGAAGAGTTCATGCATGTCTAGAGAGGTATCTGATCATGATTTTGGGTGGTATCGATTTCAAATGTTTATAGATGTTAGACGTATAAAGCTCACATTTTAGATTTTGAATTTGTTCAGTTATTGAGATACAACAATCATATATGAGACTAGTGTTACACATTGAAAAACTAGTTTCGAACATAAGTTCTTCAGCTATTTTGTGCTCGATAGGACGAAGAAATCTTCAAAAAACTGTATTTCTGATGTGTGAACAGAGTGTCTCAAAGAATTTCTG